AAGACAAGAAAAACAATGTTCGATCATACCTGATAATTTAGTCATGGACATGCCACGTTGTCCTGTTCTCTAGTTTTCTACATGTGTTTTTTTTGCTGTATGTAATATGGGGGGTGGGACAGAATTACGGTCGGGTGCAGGGGTTCGAATCGTTCTTTTAGTTGATCACACGATTCAAATTTTGTTGTTTATTTTTTAAAACTTGTATTAATTTTTACAGCAAATTTTAACATTTTTGCGCTCTCGGTTCTAAATAAAAACTGTTGAACTTTTACTGGATTGTGAACGATTCGGGGGCGGGGCTTATCTCCTCTGTTCACTTAGACTGGAATCTTATTGGCTGAGGAGTTAGCATTTCAAATTTCCCTTTCAAACGCAACACGCTCCTTCCACACTGTTTCCAAGAACACCAGTATTGATGTTTGAGATTGAAACGCTCAAACTGTGCGCGATCTATCCAAGATATTGCTAAAACTCGTCAGGCTGTGTAATCACAGGTGTGTATATTAAAATATTTATGATTTTTTTTTTTTACTTTTTCTTCTGCCATCATATTTTGTTCCTATGAACTCATCCTCTGTCATTATAAAAAATAAGCAATTTAATGTTATAAGATACTCTCATGTAATATGACATTTAATGAAACCCTTGTTTTATATACTGTGAAGTAGAGTCTATATCAATGAGATACCAAATGTACAGTTAATCCGGTACCGAGTTTCTTTCCAGGTCCTCTCCAGATTTAGTCTAGAACACAGTGGGAGAGAAATGTGTGTGAACTGAAGCCAAGACCAACTGTGTACTCATTACAGAGGATAGTTTTGCTGTTTGCAGGCCTGTAGAGCAAAAGCTGCCTTTGTGACTTGGATATTCAAATATAATAAAATTGGGACCTTTATTTTACTACACTTCTGAAAATCTTTATGGCAGATATTTATCTTCTCTTTGCCATCTGTGTTTGTCATAAAGGGAATCAAAATGACCTTGTCCGTTTCCTGTTTAATATGGCGTCACTTTCCTTCGCTCAGGACCGTCTCACATGGATGTCTGTGTCAGTTAGCCAAAGTACTTTTCTTTGATTGTCCTGATTGTCCAAGTATTCTTTGATTTTTTTGTAATGCACAGTCGAATGCACAGCCATTCAAAGTAATCCAGGCGCTCGACACATGCGCACTAGAAAGACTCATACTTGTCCAGTGTCTGCACTTTTTCTCTCCAAAAAATTAAGAGCGATAAAAATGTCTTCTTGTCTCGGTTTCTTTTCCAACTGTGAAACAGTGGCTCGGGCATTTCCAATTGAAGCCCATTTCAGTCGCGGAATAAAAAAAAAATTCAATTGAGACTTTTTCGCTCACATTTTGGACTTTGTTTTCTCAAAACTGTGAGATAAACACAGAATTGCGAGATATAAACTTGCAACTCTGACTTTTTTCTTGCAATTCCGAATTTGCATCTCACAATTCAGACTTTTTTTTTTCTCGCAGTTGCGGCTTTATATCTTAAAGTTTGGACTTTTCTTCTTGGGTTTATATCCTGTTTTTGTTTTTACAGAATTGCGATGTAATTGTGACTTTATCTCACTCTTCAGACTTCATAGAAAAGCGAGTTAATTTCTTGCAATTGCAAGTTGACATCTCTCAATTGAGACCTTTTTTTTATCAGAATTGCGAATTTATCTCAGTTCTGCATTTATATCTTGCAAATCTGAGTTTATATCTCAATAGTTTTTTTGTTTTTTTACGAGTAATTGCAACTTTATCTCTCAATTCTGACTTCTCAGAATTGTGAGCGATAATCTTGCAATTATGAGTAAATAAGTATATTACATGTGCGGTTAGAAAAATCAGGCTGTGATTGTGATGACTGTGCTTATGATTACATTCTCGTCACATGAACTTTATACGTACCCTAGCCTATGTGTAAAAACGGAAGTATACTTTGGGCTCTATGGTTCTTGTTATATGACAAATTATTACATTACAGTTCCAGGGACCCTTTTAAACTCTAGGCTGCTCACATCAACTTTACAAAACCCTAAAGGCATATAACAGTGTTACATTTTCTCTCAAACACTTGCTTTCCCTACAAACACAAGACAGGTTAAATAATTGTTCCTCTTACGTTGTTAGTATGTGCTGCTCTTGTAGTTTGTGTCCAGAGAGTCTACGTTAGTATTAAAAATGTGAATGTATTGATACCCCATATCTCCTCAATAACCCTCCTGTCACGTTTGCTTTCACTGTCTTTTATCTGATTAACACAATCTCTGTACTAAAGCACATCAGTTAGTGTACGTCTTGTTCAAATGTGTTCAACCCGTTGTCTTAATTTAATTTTTATTTGCAAGGGTACATATGTGTGCATGTGCATTACAATGTGTTTGAAGGGGCTCGTGTGCACAAACGGATGCTTCTCGGCTGCTGTGTGGCGGTAGACGGTGGTTCCAGGCCTGGGATTTTTCCGGATGCTTTTATAACCACGTGCAGCGCATGAGATCAACACCCAGCACCTCTTACGGAGAATGAGCGTTGACGTAAAGAAGCTAAAACATCTGTATATTTATTGTTGTAAATCACTACAAATAAGAAAGTCTTTAATGATGAGTTGTCAACAATGTTTAAATATTGCAAGTGATGGTAGATGAGCAATAATCTGTAATCTTGAAGAACAAAAATAAAAATCACAAATGTAAACATTTTTTGCAGGTATTACAGGCTGCACTATAATTTTTATTTATTTATTTTTTAAGTAGGCTATCGTATACATGTTTGACTTGATTGTTTGTAGGTGTGTGTGTGTGTGGTTTTAATAGCCTACCAGAAATAAATTTAAAATAAAGAGCACAAATAATTCCCTATTTTACATTGGGATGTTTAGAAGTCACACAAATGAAAAAAAGTAGAATATTTTATGTTTGAATAGTTATTTTTATATTTTCTCTTTTAATTTGGTTTTCGTAATTTTGTGATTTGTAATTTTTATTAGTTATTGGGGTATATTTTAATTAATTTAATTTTATATTGTATTTATTAATGTTTTCAGTTATCAAGTTAATAAAAATGAGAAATGTCTTTAAAAATATATATTGTAAATATTTCAAATGTAATTTTTTTTTTATTCCAATTAAAGATTTTTTTTATTATTAATATTAATTTTTATGCTTTTGCTTTTAATGATCTGTAATAACCCTGGCTTGAATATTCATGATGTCCAAAGGTTTGAGGAGGAGACTGGGTTGTTTGTTGACAGTGACTGAGTGCTCAGCTTCTGCTGGCCTGTCATTTCAGGTGTCATTTAGAGTCAGGATCCTTTAGGAGATTTTAAATATGGGCGTCCCAGTGAAATGTGTTGAATGAAACTTATGATGCATTTAGGAAAAAAAATCTCAAATTTTATCTTGGCTGAATATAAGGTATTTTAATGCTATTCTTGGTGTGCTTAGTCTCTGTATATTCCTGGACACTGAGGTCATGGATCGGAGGTGTAACTGGACTGTAAACAGTGGGTGTTTATTCTGGACACATGATGGTTTGAGATGTAAGAACAGCTGCTGTTGTCACTCACGCCTTCAGGTTACTTGTACAAACACACAAATGCTGAGAGTCACTGTCTGTTGTTTTCACTCGACCTGTTACGAATGACTGTCTTCAAGTTCAAGCCTTCCCTGACGCTAAGTACGGATACTAATAATGTTTAATAATTTGCTAAAAGTGTAATATGATAAACATTGCAGTGGTTAAGACTATATTTTTCATATTTCTATCTCAGATGTTCTGTGAATGTCTGAACAAGATAAAGCAAAATAATATGACCCCCCACAGCCTGAATCCTTTCTTCAAAGTCTGTCCCGTTTCTTTTGGACATAATGTTAATTGAAGTGTCCTTCCCACTCGGCTTGACTCGTATGTGAAGAGCAGTGTTGGGCAAGTTACTTCCAAAATGTAATACATTATATATTACTAGTTACTGTCTTTTGAAAGTAATCAGTTACATTACAATATTACTCTCTCTGAATTGTAATGCATTACACTACTTTTGAGTTACTAGCATCAGGAAATAGACAAACTATTTTACCCGCGGGATTTTTTTCTCTGGTGCTGTTTTGCGGTGTTGGTAAATTCACCACTTAATTTTGAGTTAAAATATGTTGTTGTAACTTGCGTTACTGAGATTGTAACGAGTAATAATATTACCCAAATTTGATTAGTAATGCGTTATATTACTGCGTTACAGCAAAAAGTAATATACTACTGTAATATTATTACTTTTGTAATGCGTTACTCCCAACACTGGTGAAGAGACCACCATGACGAACGTGTCTCCATCTCAACAATCAATAATTCATTGTGTTCACAATATGGTCCGTCAAAAACGTCACAATGTGGCTCTTTCTAGCTGTAGACCTTTCTGTTTCTCAATGTGAATAATAACACTTTGTTTGTCCGTATCACCACTTTCTAAAGGCCATACATGATTGACTGGAGATTTTATTTGAATGTATTTGTCTTTTATATTTAAGCAATAATAATAATTAAAAAAAATAAATAATAAAAATATATATATAATGTATGTAAAGTTATTAAAACATTTTCATAGGCCTATACTTAAAATAAAATTTTTAAGTAGTACGTTTTTATAAATTTGTATAAATATATGCATTAAGACTTACAAAATTGAAAAAATAAATGGTAAACGTCGCCTATATATTTATGTGATTTTCATATAACATCAACTACAAAATTTATTTTTTATTTTTATAAAAACAACCCCTGGGAAGCTGTTTACAGCAATTACAATGAACATTTATTACGTTTATTAAAATGAGTACATTTTGAGTAAAATAATTTGTATGTAGTAGCACCTGCATATTCGTGCTCTAGTGCGGTGTGGGCGTGGCTCGCCTCGGGTGTTACGTCAAACCACGCCCTCATCGGCGATCAGCAGCCAATCAGAGTGGCGGGGACGGATATTATTCTGAATGTATTCTGAGTCCAGCAGCGTCTGTTCCAGTGTGACAGTGTATTTCCGTGCGGCGAGCAACTCCTCAGCCTGACAGATGCAGCAGCAGACCGACGACATGGAGGTACCTTTACTTAATGATTCTAACAGTAACAGACAGAAGTCTCTGGCTCAAGAGAGAGATGGGTTCAGCCATCAGCAGATGGATTCGGAGGTAATCCGAGCACACTGACAGTTTGCAGGGGTAGAGGGGTGTGTGTGTGTGTGTGTGTGTGTGTGTGTGTGTACGGTGGCTTGTTGCTGGGGGCTTTAAATGCCTCGAGTTGTTATTTTAGAAACATGCATGGCGCTAAAAATACCTTCTCTTTAGGAATTTGATCCAGTGTGACCGGCTGATGGTTTTATAGAGGATATAGACATGCGTTTCATGTGCATGCATTTGAAGGGTAAATATGAAGGATGCATTTGTTTCTGCCTTAAATTCCCACTTCTTACACAGTATATGGATATATGCACATGCGCATATAAAATGCTGAGCATGTATGCATTTGGCTCATTTCATTTACAGTAGGCCTACATGTGTATTCCTCACATTAACCCATCAAATGTCAGTGGGCACAAATTCCTATGCATTATAATATGTCATGTAAACCAGTTATTTAATAAGCTTGATATTAGCCTGATGTTATGGAATATATATTGTTATATTGGGAGTTAATGGGGGTCAATAATATACAATCTGCTGCAGATTTATTTATTTATTTTCATATAAATTTATTTAAAAGAAGCAGTGGTCTATCCATCCATCCATCCATCCATCCATCTATCCATCTATCTATCACCTGGAGTTGAATTGATTTGTAATATACAATCTGCTGGTGAATTTTTAATTCATATTTCTTTGAAAGAAAGTCTGTCTGTCTGTCTGTCTGTATCTATTTATCTATCTATGAATGAACTGAATTGGAGTGGTAAAGACTGCACAGTGCACACTATAATGCACTCATTGCTCTCTCCAATATGAACTTATTATTTATTCAGTCATTAAAAATAAAACTAGCAAATGCATATTTGATTCTCTTCTTGGCACAGCACAGCCCAGATTCAGTCTTCAAGGTTCAAGGACAGTAACACATATTGTGCTGTGAATACATCCAGCCTAGTGAAGTTATGGTAATTAATTCCTCGTCCATGATCGTTAAGCATATTAAATGTTTTTTTTTGTTTTGTTTTTGTTTGAGGAATTGGAGCGTGTTTTACTCCTGCAGCAGATTTTTTTTTCTAGGACAGTGATGGGGAGGTGGTTTGAATGTACACAAAATGCCTCAAAATGATGTGCATGGCTGGAGTTATTACGAGGAGTGAAACTCAGAGGTCATATATGTGAGTGATCTGTCATTAAACCAGAATATGCTGGATGTAAAGCTCTGTGCTTGGTCTTATGGTATGAGCATGGTAATATTGGTGATGAATTATTGCATCTGGCTGCATTAAATGAATTATGAATATTAAATGGTGAATATTGACTGGATCTTTTGGCATTTGGTCCATTAGCTCGGTGCTGGCACAGGGCACATTGTGCATGCCCTGTTTTGAGCTTTACAGATTTACAGATTAGTCCAGTTTGTTTCATAGGATAGAAAGGCATGCAACTCTTGTTTAGTTCATATTTTAACATGATTTTTAAAAAAAAATGGTGTATGGATAATCAAGTAAACCCAAGTTGCTTCACATTCATCTTGAAATATTACTAACAATGTAAAAGTTATTCTTACATTTGCTTTATAAAAATAAGTAAAGATTTCACAGCAAAAAGACACATGAACCATGACCTGAAGATGTAGTTTTTATAATTATATTAAAAGGCCTTTTATTTGCTAAAAAATATAAACAGTCAGTTGACAAAATGCGTTGTGTACAACAGATGTTTTAGCACAGTTTTGATCATTTAGAGACTTTAGAAAAGTGCAGATCAAATATGATACAATAAGCTTTATAGGGCTAAACACTAGAAAATATTACTGATTGTAACCTAAAGTACATAACAGACACATGAACCATGACCTGAAGATGTAGTTTTTATAATTATATTAAAAGGCCTTTTATTTGCTAAAAAATATAAACAGTCAGTTGACAAAATGCGTTGTGTACAACAGATGTTTTAGCACAGTTTTGATCATGTTGATCATTTAGAGACTTTAGAAAAGTGCAGATCAAATGATACAATAAGCTTTATAGGGCTAAACACTAGAAAATATTACTGATTGTAACCTAAAGTACATAACTTGCAAGTATCTCATAATGATCAGGAATAGTGTGAAGTTAAGACATAAAAAAGCCTAATGAAGAACTCCTGGTTCATTAGACTCCACCATTGAGGCAGTTTCTTCAGTGTATGACGTGTGTGTGTGAGTAATAATCAGTGACATGATTCACGGCAGAAATGTGTATTCTGTTTACAGGACGTTGTTCTAGTTTATAAGTATCATAGTTTGCCTTTGTATCAGATGTTTTGGCCCCTGACCTTCCCTGCTTTCTCTGAATGCATCAGTATGTGGCATCGGTTTGGATCAGACGTGAGTGTTCTGCTTCTGGGAGATCAGAGGGAGTAACCTTTAGGGAAGGTGTCAGAAAAGCTGTCAGAAGGAAAGCCCATCTCTCTCTCTCTCTCTCTCTCTCTCAGTTAGAGCTTCCCACCATGAGTATCAATGCCATCTGCTTCTGAGGACCAAAATAAAATGCTTCTGACTGTGCCACACATGTCTGTGAGTTAGGAGGGAGAGAGTGACCGAGAGAAGAGCGTAAATCATTAGTTTAGTGTGCATATGCATATGTAAAATCTGCGCACATGCATTATGCATAAAGAATGCGCTTTATGATGATAATGTGCATTTATAATTTTCTCACATTCATTATACATATTTTTTTTTTTTTGCCCATAATCCGTATACAGTGCCTGAATTATACATTATACATTTAAACTAGGGGTGCAACAATATAGCGTGTCACAACATCTCGCAATACAAAAATTCAACAATATGTATTGTGTATAGTTCATCCAAAAATGAAAGTTTATACAGATTTAATTTAGGGTTTTATTCACATATAAACAATGATATTATCCAGTAAATCCGGTCATAAATTTGAGCTTCCATGTTTATTATTTATGTTAATAAATAAAAAAATACTTGCATATACATATACTGGCCTATATAATATTACATATTTTATAATTTATAGAAAATAATAAAAAATATAAAATAAATTATTTAATAAAATACAATATTTAAAACGTTTTTAAATGTATGTAAGGGACAGAGAGCAATTATGTGTCTATCATAATTCTATATTATTAGCTATTTTTATTCTGGTTATGAAATGTACTTTTTGTGAATTGTTTATCATGTCTTAGAAGTCATTTAAAAATACAATTTTAACTCTATTTTGGCTTTGTTTAAAGCATCTTGAGAGTTTATTGTGAGATCAGTATCATTTATCAAAGCAAATCGTGACATTAGTGTATTGTTACACTCTTAATTTAAACTAAACTTAAATTTAGTTTTATTTCTAATCACAGATTTACAGATGAAAAGCGACTGGTCTGATGGGGAGTTATTTTAAGTTTAAAATAAAAAGTTTTATCTGTGAAGTCATTTTAGCTTATAGCTGTCAAACAAAAGAGTATACGCTTCCCAAAGAGGTTATAGAAACTGTACAACAAAAGTATAAAATCAAACCACCCAGACATTTCCTAGCAAAGTTCATTCATCATCATCATCATCCATGAGAAGGGGACTTGTTGGAGAAGGTAGAGAGAGGTCAACAATCACTTTGAAAAGTACAGAGTTCAAGATATGAGAACAGAGTCCACAAGAGCTCTGTCAAGAGCCGTGCATTATGGGTGGGTGGCAAAAGAGGCCATTCCTCAGAAAGAAACCATGTGAAAGCAGATCTCATGTTTGCCAAAAAGCATAGTGGGTGACCCATTTGTGATGGTTTTGAGGTCATATGCCTCCATAATAGAGCTTTTGGGCAAAATTCAAAATGATATGTGTGGGACAAGTCTAACACTTCCCACATCTAAAAAAAAAAAGAACACCATGATGGTGCAAAACGCAGGGAGATACTGCAAGAAAGCTGCCTGCTAAAAACAAAGCTTGACCGAAAGTCCAGCACAACAATGAGGCCAAATTAGCTGCAACAATGTGAAGGTCCTGCAGAAGCACTTTATCTTTAAATGAATAAGCACTTGAGCACAGGAACCTGGTCCTCAGGGGGAATGAAGAAAGTTCATCTTCAACATTATGCTTCTTACGTAATTTATTCTTCAACTGACAGCACAGAGCGTGTTCCCCAGATGTTAATTGGGCTGCAATTAAATCAAAACGCCTCGGAGGACCTGACACTTCTTCATTTCAGGCAGACTGTGAAGGAAAAGCCAGGAAATCCATGTTTGGCTCAGGGTTTTAGAGGCTGTTCAGGGATGTTAGCATACAGTAGATCAGCACTGATGTTTTGAAACCATTAACACTGCGTTTGGGTGTGAATGTTCACGCTTTAGTAGCTCTTTGAGAGAGTTGGCTAAAAGACATGTGGCTATTCTTAAGCATAAGTGCAGACTTGGCCAACAGTCAGCAGTCATTTATGCAGGAAATATCCTTTTAGATGGACACACACTGGAAACCCTGCAGTCTTGCTTCTTATAATCATGACACACTGTGGGTCAGTGAAAACAATCTGTGTAATTTACAGTAAAAAAAATTGAAAGAACTTTGAAAAAAAAACTGACTTACTGAAGTACTAAATTTTTTTTGTACCTTTTATAATATGCTGACAGCCCCTTAATGAACATTAATTTATCAACATAAGATGTGACATAAAACCCTAATGTACGTACTGTAACTGATAACAAAAAAACTAAGAAGGTTAGTTTAGAGTTTTTCACTGTAAATTATAAGATGACTTGTTCTTTTTCACTTTTCTTTTTAAATGTCCTGTTTTCACCGTATATAATACAGAAACTTACTGTTAATCAATTAACATGTTTTCACAGTAGTATTTCTACAGTCCTCCATCATTAAAATTACATTTTTATTTTAAAGTGTACCACAAGAGGAAATTTTGCGAGGGTCCATTTACAGTTTTTGACTGTAAATGATAAGATGACTTGTTTTTTCACTTTCAAAAACTGTAAATTTAATAGTATTTTAATGTAAAATTACAAGTTTTTTTGTTGTATATAGTAAGAAAACTTTGTGTTAACCAGTTATCAGGTTTTCACAGTAGCATTTTACAGTCTTTTTACCATTAAAATGACAATTTTTACAATAAATTTTTTTTACAGTGTACTAAAAATCAGAGAATTCTAGGAATGTCAATTTACTATTAATGACTTGGTCTTTTTACATTATTTATCAGCATTTTACTGTAAAATTAAATTAAACATCTCATTAGATTTATTGCAGTGTTTCACTTTACAGTATATACAGTAGTAAAAAAACATACTGTTAACCAATTGACAGGTTTTAACAGTAGCATTTTTACAATCTTTCACCGTTAAAATTACATTTTTTACAGTGTACTACAGACCGTGCATACTGCATACATTTTATTGTTAATTTTTTTTAATAATAGCCTACTGAAAATGTTAGCAGAGTACAGTTACAAACTCTTCATCTCCCAAGTTTGTAGACAACATTGTCCCAAAAAGCATGTACAGGTGCAAACTTACAAAATCCACAAAAAATACAGCATCAAGTCACCCTAGACATGCTATTTAGTGTGTACTATAATTGGAGATGCGTTAATCCTAATGTCACATACTATTTTAGAATGTATAGTATACAAATTACGACGCAGTATGTGTGGTTTTAATTGTTACTTCTTTGTATTTAGATCTTTGTACCTTCTGAGCACATGTGAGGTACTGTGCTGATCGAAATGGTAGTTAATTCATGCTGACATATTGCCGCCCCTTATTTCCCACGCTATTGTCGTTGAAGTTCTAGAGTAGTGTGCCCTGGCTGAATTACGAGGAAAATCACATGCTGCAGAAATAGTGGAAAGACCTGAAATGCGGTTGGCAAACGTTCCAGGATGTTAGACATGTGACACTTTCTGTTGTGGCAGTGCAGTTATTATTTGATGATCCTCTGATCTGCAGGGGTCCATGGAGTCCCCGAACCTGGAGTTTGAATATGGGGACACGGACAGCTTCACTGCAGAGCTCTCAGGTGGGACACGCACACACACACACACACTAACATATCTAGGGATGAACAAACACTGGGTGAACAAATTTTAGTGGAAGCAGCGCAAGAACTTTTATATCTGGCAGGTGTTCAAACATAGCTTTAATATAAAAATAGATATAAATTCATAGAACATTAGATGTTCATTATGCATATTTACTGATGTAATTTTAATGTTGCAACATTAACGGTGAACCTGTGTGTGGTTCATGTGTTTCATGATATGTTTGAGGTTTTATGCCTTTAAATATACCAAATGTGGTAGTATATAAACTATTATTATACATTATTATATATTTTTTTAAATCTTATTTGCTGTTACTGTAGCCTCTCGATGTGGCTGTTTCTAAAGATTCGGCTCATTATAGTGTGTTTTAATTTGCATGTGATGAGCAACATGCCAGTTAATGTTTAATGAATTTGTTTTACTATACTATGAAAAGCCAATGTTATGTGCTTGTTTTCCTTTAACTATGCATGTCTTTCTGCCTCTTTCACACAGAGCTGTACAGCTACACAGAGGAACCGGAGTTCAGTCTAAACAGGGATTACTTTGAGGAAGACTTCAAGAATCATGGTAATGTAGCCCGCAGTGTTGGGTGTAATGCATTACTGAGTAATTAATTATTGTAATTTAATTTCCCCTTAAAAAAGTAAGTAAAGTAAAGGATAACTCTTAATTTTTCTGCAATTTAATTACAATTACTTCTGCATTAAATATTGTATAGAGAACAATTCTATATAAAATAATAGTGGATTTAACATTAAAATGTAACATCTAATGTTAAAGTGCAGTATATGTTTTTAATGTAACCTTCTCCCTTTAAATACTTTAGTCAACGCACACACACACACACACTAACATATCTAGGGATGAACAAACACTGGGTGAACAAATTTTAGTGGAAGCAGCGCAAGAACTTTTATATCTGGCAGGTGTTCAAACATAGCTTTAATATAAAAATAGATATAAATTCATAGAACATTAGATGTTCATTATGCATATTTACTGATGTAATTTTAATGTTGCAACATTAACGGTGAACCTGTGTGTGGTTCATGTGTTTCATGATATGTTTGAGGTTTTATGCCTTTAAATATACCAAATGTGGTAGTATATAAACTATTATTATACATTATTATATATTTTTTTAAATCTTATTTGCTGTTACTGTAGCCTCTCGATGTGGCTGTTTCTAACTTTAACTATGCATGTCTTTCTGCCTCTTTCACACAGAGCTGTACAGCTACACAGAGGAACCGGAGTTCAGTCTAAACAGGGATTACTTTGAGGAAGACTTCAAGAATCATGGTAATGTAGCCCGCAGTGTTGGGTGTAATGCATTACTGAGTAATTAATTATTGTAATTTAATTGATTTTCTCTTGACAAAGTAAAGTAAAGGATAACTCTTAATTTTTCTGCAATTTAATTACAATTACTTCTGCATTAAATATTGTATAGAGAACAATTCTATATAAAATAATAGTGGATTTAACATTAAAATGTAACATCTAATGTTAAAGTGCAGTATATGTTTTTAATGTAACCTTCTCCCTTTAAATACTTTAGTCAGTTCAAAAATAATTTATAAAATTTTATATGATTTATTTGTAAGAATTAAAATTGTATTGTTAATTTGTATTGTTCAACTATGGGATTTAGAAAGTAATTAGTAATGCAATACATTTTAGAGAGAGTAATTTAGTACAGTAATCTAATTACTGTTGAAGATGTAATTAGTAGCTAGTAATTAATTACTTTTTTAGAGTGACCTTACCCTACACTGGTAGCCAATGTTATATTATAGCAAAAAATATAATCAGTATTTTTAGTAATAATTTCCACTATACATCTTAAAACATCCTTAAAACAGGATGAATTTACTTCAGAAGCAAATTGCACAGTAAGACTTGTTCTCAGAGAATAGGTTTATTTTTCTTACCACATTGGATTTTTTTTTTTTTTTTACTATTTAATTATTTTGCTTGTTTTAAGCATAAACCTCTCGATTCTAAATTAAATTTAAAAATGAGAGAAAATTTTGAAAAAGAAAAGAAAAAGTAAGAAAAAACAAATTCTAAAATGCAAAATACTTGATATGTACTCTAAGAACAAGTGTTGTGATCCTACACAGTTTTGCTTCCAAAATTAATTTTAAGTATGTTTATATATATATATGACTGCCCATCATATATCATATGATATGAAAGATATTTTGTCTTGTTTTCTAGTAATATATATATTACTAGAAAACAAGACAAAATATCTTTATTTGCAGTGCATCTTCACACAACACACTTACTCAGAGGGTTTTGTGTTAGAATTGCATTTTTTTTAAAAAGTGAGGAATAGCTTGGAGTCCTAGTGGCATGGACGTGCTGAAACAGAGAGAGACGGCTGATTAACTGAACATTTCCACCTGTGTCTGAGAGAGAACAGAAATAAACCATCGGCAAATTTGCACTGTTCTCTCTCCGTGAGAAAAGGAGAACTTTAATGAATGTTTATGCAGTTACAGTGTGTGTGTGTGTTTGTGTGTGTGTATAGCCTCAGGCTTTACCCTGCCTGCTGTGTGCACAGTCTCACCTCACCAGCCCTCTCCATCTCTCTCTGTGTGTCTGCCATGGCACTGCAGCCCTACAAAATGGAGGAAATCCAAGAGGCTGGATCACCATGTCACGTTAGCTTTAGCGTGTTCGTGTGTGCTGTACATCTGTGTTGATTGTGACGCAACTGCATATTATGTGTTGATGGAGTCTCATACCAGACACGTTTACACTTTTAAAAGTTTTCTGCCATCCAAAGGGCTCATTTTTTATTTTTTTTCCCCCTTGTGTCCACTTATAATGTAATTTTCCACTCTCTTTCAGACTCTCAGATTTTATGCTGCTGCGCCTTAAAGGAATAATTCACCTAAAAAGGAAAATTTGCTTAAAATGTACTCACCCTCAGGCCATCCAAGATGTAGATGAGTTTATTTGTTGATCAGAACAGATTTGGAGAAATGTAGCATTACATCACTGTCTCACCAATGGATCCTCTGCAGTGAATGGGTGCCGTCAGAATGAGAGTCCAAACAGCTGATAAAAACATCACAGTAATCCACAAGTAATCCACACCACTCCAGTCCATCAATTAACATTTTGTGACGTGAAAAGCAGCATATTTGTAATAAATTCATCATTAAGAATCTTTAACTTCAAATCAATGTCTTGTGTGAATCAGAAGAGAAATATGCACAGATCAAGCAACGTTTACAGGCAAAAACAGTTCTAAACAAATACGGGGGTGGATTTGGACAACAGAGGATGGACTTTTTCACTTTAAGAAGCATTATAATGATTTCTGGACTTTGGCCATTTTGGCCAGAAGCAACGGTTCTAAAGTTAAAACTCCTTAATGATGGATTTGTTTCTTACAAACACACAGCTTTTCTTTTCACAAGATGTTAATTGATGGACTGGAGTGGTGTGGATTACTTGTGGATTATTGTGATGTTTTTATCAGCTGTTTAGACTCTCATTCTGACGGCACCCATTCACTGCAGAGGATCCATTGGTGAGACAGTGATGTAATGCTACATTTCTCCAAATCTGTTCCGATGAAGAAACAAACTCATTTACATATTTGATGGCCTGAGAGTGAGCAAATTTTCATTTTAGGATGAACGATTCCTTTAAAGACGAATATGTAACCTCTTCACTTCTGAGATGAGAAATGTATGCAAGCAAATGTTTCGGAATCTTATATCTCATAAAATCAAGGAAATGTTGATTCCTCCTGATGTGACTTTAATAAAAAGCATCAGTCCCATCAGAATTCCACTGTGAAGCCTTCAGTGTCAGATGAACGACCTCAGTGATTTAATTTTACACAAGCCTTCCACTGAAAAGACTTGAGGCAAATGTTTTACCAATATTCAGAGGGAGGTTTGTACAGTAATTTGCATTCAGTCCCCCACTCGTATATGTGGTTGAATAACATTTTTGACTGAAAGAGAAGAGAGGTCACTGAAGTGAACGAGTGTTTTCACGTGTGCCTCCCCTCTCATGGGTATTTGAGCAACACAAATCTGGACTAATCTTTCTCACATGTCAGAATGGGAGGTGGTAGAAGAATGGCAGAAATGATTAAGAGATATAATTCTTCTGTGCTCTGCTCTCAGTGAAGGGCCGGAGGTGGATGGAGTTGAGTATGGAGGAGCAGAGGGCATATGTCATGAGACTGCTGGATGCTCTGGAGGTCACCGATCGAGACAAGAGGCTCAAAGTTGCCCGAGCCATCCTCTATTTGGCACAAGGTATGAATATAATACATACAACCACAATGCAATGGGTGAATCTCATGAAACCAGTTGACAGCATGTCATATTTCACCCCAAATCAAGAAATAAAAAAGTAACCAAATATATTATGTGAAATTAAATCTGTTTTAGGATCATTAAGATATTTTGCAATTTCGATGTATTTATTTTTTAGTACATATTATCTATAATTGATTATATTTTGATAATTATTAAACACATTTCTCCTAGTTCTCACTACTTTAATAATGATGTATTATTTAATTTGTAATAGCATTTTTAGAACTGCCCATAATTTATACAACATTTTTTGCAGTTTTTGTTTTGGTAAAAATATTTTAAAAAGATAGAAATATATAAAACAATAAAGTATGACTATTGCAAAAATAAGAATCATTATTGAGTGTTTTTTAATGTATTTTTGGACTTTAATAATTGGCATGAAAATGTCTTAATTTTTTGTCATATTTTTTTATTTATTTCATTTGTAGTACTGCCTTTATGCATATTTAAATTTTATTAAAAACAATGTATGGCAATATTTGTTTTTAATAAAAAAAAAATAATAATAAATAAATAAATATATATATATATATATATATAATAAAAATATGTAAAAATAAAATATGAATCATTGAGCATTATGGTAATGAGAATTTGGACATAAACATGCTGAATTGACATGAAAATAATTGTAAAAAATCCTTAAAATAGTCTTTTCTTAAGCAAAATATAATTTCTTCTTTTTTCTTACGTATGTGTGTTCAGGTGTGTTTGATGAGTGCGACACAGAAACTGACGTCCTCTACTGGTCCCGACACAACGTCTTCCTCCTCTACGACATGGGCATCTTCACGGCTCTGCTGGAGCTCCTCAGCATGGAGATAGAGTGAGTGTTTTCATTTCCCAAAATGCCTCAGTCTCTGTGTGGAGATCTTTGACTGAGGGCAGACCATCTGCTGCAGGCGAGGACAGACAGGCGAAGGCTGAGATACTGAAAGAGACAGACAGAGACTGAATCTCTACTGTTTAACAGTGCTGCTATTTTTATTCTCCTTCTCCTGAGGGAGCAGGTTAGAAACGGCTCAGTCGTGACTGTGTGTGTGTGTGTGTGTGTGTGTGTGAAACAGTTGTGTATTTCTGTGGATCTCCTGGGTGCTGTACTAATGAGACAAACGGCTTTCTCTTTTCTGTTTCTTAATGCCCGGTGTGTACGGTAGCAGCTGCCTGGGCGGCACAGCGAGCAACTTCTCCATTCCTTTAATTACCCTCATTAAGTACACTTTCATGTTAACAGGTCTTTTTATTCTATTCAGAGAGTGATATCAGTGAAATCAGATATCACTCTTATTATTGCACATACTGTACCAACATAAACATTAATGTGCATAAAACTACTCGGAACACATTAGCAACCACGTAGCAATGGCCTGGCAACCATTCATTATACCCTAGGATTGTGGTAGCAACTTCTGCATGGGTAAGTGCAATTAAGAAAATGTGAAAGCCTGCCGTATTTTCCAGAAAATTTGTCGTACCTGACTATAAGTCACACCAGGTCAAAATTGTATTGTTAAGAGAAAAAACATTGCATTGGCGTAAGTCACATTTTATTACGTTCAGAAAAAATCTAAAATGAACGAAATGTTCTATAAACGTGTATTTTAGTTCCCCTCACTACACAACAAATCCTTTAAATGTAATTGTATTTAGAGCAGAACAGGAATGAAAAACAAAGTATAAAACAAACATAAATTATAGTGGCATTCAGTATTCAGTATATGCTATTATAGATTTTACCATTTTTGCTATCATTTTAATTCGTTTTTTTTTTTCATTTTTGTATTTTTTATTTTTGTAATTTGTATAAATTTTTTTTATTTAAGTTTAACTTTTTTGTACATCAAGTTAAATTAAAAATAAAATGAAAATGAGAAATGTTTCCTTGACAACTAGCTGAAATTTAAAAAAGTATTTATTAAAAATATTTTATTTTACTTCAGTTAACATTTATTTTATTTCAAGTAACTGATTTTTTTATGGTTTTAGATTTAGTTAACTATAATAATGAATATAGTATTCATTATAAACAACAGTTATTACAAACAACAAAACTGAAAAGCCAAACTGAAACTACTGGTGTGTGGGAAATGCGTTATTCAAATAAACGCTGCACGTTTTGCATGCGTCACGTTAATTATATTAATGTGAAGCATGCAAAACATGATATTAGTCAACATTATATAAGTCACTTTGGAATATTAGTTGCAGCTGTAGATGATTAAAAAAACATGACATTTATTCCAGAAAATATAATAGTTTGCATTTAATATATGAAACATTAGATTTCGGTTCATCGTATTATTATTTTGTGTGCTTGACATTAATTGCATTATATAATCTCTTTGGACTTTGGACTCAGGATTATATATCATTGTGGAATAGAAATCACAGCACATTTCAAAAAAAATAAAAAATAGTGACTTATATTCCAGAAAATACAGTTAACATTTAATAAATGAAACATTGTATTTTACTTCATCATATTCTTATGAAGGTAATATAAGCACCATACTTTAAAAGCAAGATCAAAAAGGCCCAGTTCTTTTGTGTATCCATCTCGTACCTGCTGTCATCTCTCCATAATAAGGCCATTCTTTATTTTCTGCATCAGCACCCTCTCTCTCTCCATTTCCTCCCGCACTCGTGTTAAAAAGAGCCACAGAGTGGTCCGTCTGTGATCTGCCTGGCCACCATGCCTCTCCTCTTTCAAGCCCCTGCCTGGGGGATTTAATGTCTTTGTACATGGTCTCATCCACTCACACAACAGAACTGCTCTCAGGGAGACCGTACCGCTGCCTCTCTGCCTCTTCTGTGGTTTACTGTGGCGTAATTTGCACAATTAGCCCTCCAGCTTCTCCGAACATTGATTCATATTCAGCTGAGCACATCTGATTCAATTGATCAGGGTTTTGGTTTACAAGCTAGCATTTGTACTGAATACAAGGGATTGGACTGCATGGCTTGTTTCCCCCTCAAAAACTCATTTGTATTGTATTTTGTGGAATGATAAAAGTTGGCTGGTTGTAATGAGTCTTTTACAGTGTTATTTTAGTATCATTACCATATTATTATTATTATTATAGTTTTTATCAGTATTTTGAATTAGATTTTATTTTTCTATTTTCTGTTTTCATTTTAATTTTAGTTAAAGTTAAAGTTTTAGTAATCTTGTGCGGTTTTTTGTCATTTTTATTAGTTTTGGGATTTTTTAAAAAATAGGTCTGTGCAGTTTTTATAAATTAAGTTTTAGTTGTAGTTATTTTTTTACAATTAGTTTCTTTTTGTTAACATTAGGTAACTTCATTGCTTAAACTAAGAATGGAAAATACTTTAAAATAAACCTTAGTTTATATTAATAATTATATTAATTAAAATGTATTAATACATTATTAAAATCAAAAGTTGTATGTTCATATTATTTAATGGATCTGAGCTAATTTGAAATACCAATAAACAGCTGTATTTTTATTAACTAACATTAACAAAGATGAATAAAAACTGTTAACTAATGTTAACTAATGGGACCTTATTGTAAATTGTTTCCATTATTTTAGTACATCAAGTTAAACTAAATTAAAATGACAAATTTTGCCTTGCCAATTACCTGAAATAAAATTAGGTTTAAATATTTTATTTAATTTCAGTTAATTTAAGTTTTTTTTTATGGTTTTAGTTTTAGTTTTGGTTAACTGTAATACCCCTGGTCCTTTGACGCAGATGTTTCATAAGGATGTGCATTTATATTTTGAGTTAGTATTGTTCCTTTTTTCTCCAGTAATAACCAGGCATGCAGCAGTGCGGTGAGAAAACCAGCCATTTCTCTGGCAGACAGCACTGAACTCAGGTAAGATGCCCACTGGGACTAATTTTATTTATTTTTTCTCTGATAGAAAACACTATACACTGTATATAACACTAGCCCTTTGCCCTCCTCCTCTTCACCATGGTAACCAAGTTCTGCAGCATGAATGCGCCCCATTTCCCAATGAAGAAAGTGCTGCTCTTACTGTGGAAGACCATACTGGTCAGTCTCAATATACAATCATCAGAATCACATATGCTTCATTTTAGATAAGTAATTTTGATTCTAGTCTGTTCCATCGGTTTCCCCGGTAACTGCTAATCAAAACAGCGTTGCCCTCACAAACGCTACTTTATCAGGCATTAAAGGAAAGATTAAATTAAACATTAAATGACAACAAAACTTTTCTGAAGACAATCGGTTCCCTTCAAAAAAAGATACATTTCATGGTAACCAAGTTCTGCAGCATGAATGCGCCCCATTTCCCAATGAAGAAAGTGCTGCTCTTACTGTGGAAGACCATACTGGTCAGTCTCAATATACAATCATCAGAATCACATATGCTTCATTTTAGATAAGTAATTTTGATTCTTCTATTCTATTCTATTCTATTCTATTCTATTCTATTCTATTCCACAGATAATTGACTGCTTATTCTATGCTATTCTGTTATACTACATAATACTATCTTTTAATCCATTCAATTTCATATACAGATTTCAGTGTTACTACACTCTATGTGTGGCAGCACTTCCCCCAGGGAGAAATATATATGTATATAATGTAAATATTAAATAGCAGACAGGCTTATTGAAAGTGCAAATTCATTCTCTGCCAGCAGGAGGCGCTTTAAGAGCGGCAGAAACAGCGGTTTCCCCGGTAACTGCTAATCAAAACAGCGTTGCCCTCACAAACGCTACTTTATCAGGCATTAAAGGAAAGATTAAATTAAACATTAAATGACAACAAAACTTTTCTGAAGACAATCGGTTCCCTTCAAAAAAAGATACATTTATATAAAAACCCCCGTGCTGCGTTTTGACTTTGAAACGTACAGTGCTCATGTTTATTCAACGAAGTCAAAGCCTTTTGGAAAATTTATTTGTGGTGGTCAGTGTTGATATTGTGGCGGGCCACCACAAATAAATCAATGTATGGAAATGTATTCCTTGAATTAAACTTCTTCTGTTCTGTCATTCTGTTCTGTTTCATTCCATACAATACAATCACTATTCTATTCTATTCTATTCTACACTACTGTTAAAAAGTGTGGGTTCAGTAAGATGTATTACATCTTACAAAAATTACATTTTTAAAATATACTGAAATACAAACAGTTATTTTAAATTCTAGTAATATTTCACAATATTGCAGTTTTTAATGTATTTTTAATCAAATAAATGCAGCCTTCAGAGCATAAGACATTAAAACATTTTTTTAAAATCTTGCCAACCCCAAAGTTTTATTCAGGATTGATTGAAGATTTAATTCTGTTCTATTTTCTTTCATTATGCTACATTTCATTCCATAGAATAATTGCTGCTTATTGTATTCTACCAGATAAAGAGAGGCCTTTTTGGATATTTCAGAATATAAACACTGTGTTTATCATGGACTCTTTCAACTGTAAATCAGGCAGCTGTTTATGTGCCTATAGTTCTCTGTCCATTGATTTCTACGTGTTTGTGCACCTCAGTTCACTCTGGGAGGTTTCGAGGAGCTGCAGGAGATGAAGGTGAGAATGAGAGAACTTTTGAACCTGTCACCGCTCCCTGAGGACAGCATTAAGGTGGTGCGAAACATGCGTGCCGCTTCTCCTCCTGCCTCGGCCATGGAGCTCATCGAGCAACAGCAGCAGCAGAAGAGAGGACGCAGGAGTCGTCGGGTACGAGAAACACACATGCAAATGACTTTCAAAGCAGTTGCAGTTGCACTAGCAGAAACCACGTGTAGATGAAATACATGAACTGTGCCAGTATGAGTACACATAACCTCTTATGCGTATAAACCTATACACTCAGTGTATGAAATACAAAGCAAGCACACAAAAAAATCTGATCTGTGCTACCTATTACACAGCCCTGCATCTTGAAAAATTAATTCAATTTGATGCTGAGTTAAAAAAATATCAACAACTTTCAATGTACAGTTTTTTTTTTCTTTCACAAAATAAGAATAAAGATTTTTCAGATTATAAGGCTATAGTTATATAATCACTGCCGTTCAGTAAGATTTTTTTTTTTTTTTTTTTAAGTCTCTTATGCTCATCAAGGCTACATTTATTTGATCAAAAATACTGAAAAATTTTTAAAATAATGTTTTTCTATTTTAACATACTTTGAAATATGCAAAAATCTGTGATGCAAAGCTGAATTTTCAGTATCATTACTCCAGTATACAGTGTCACATGATCCTTCAGAAATCATCCAATATGCTGATTTATTATCGCTGCTTAATATTTGCTGCTTAAGATTTTTTGGAGCCTGTGATACTTTTTTTCAGGATTCTTTGATGTATAAAAAAGTTAAAAAGAACAACATTTATTCAAAATAGAAATATTTTCTATTTAAGTCTTTACTGTCACTTTTTATCAATTTAACACATTCTTGTTGAATAAAAGTATTAATTTCTTTCAAAAAAAGAAATAAAAAAAATGTACTAACCCCAGACTTTTGAACTATAGTGTATATTGCTACAAAAGATTTCTGTTGTAAATAAATGCTGCTCTTTTAAACTTTTTATTCATCAAAGAATCCTGAAAAACTCACAGGTTCCAAAAAATATCAGCATATTAGAATGATTTCTGAAGGGTCATGTGACACTGATGACTGGAGTAATTATGCTGAAAATTCAGCTTTGCTTCACAGGAGTATAATAATATAAGGAATAAATGTATATTAAAAGTATATTAAAATAGAAAAACGTTATTTTAAATTGCAGTAATATTTTACATATTTGCTGTTTTTTTTTTCTGTATTCTTGATCAAATAAATGTAGTCTTGATGAGCATAAGAAAATTCTTTAAAAAACATTAAAAATCTTACTGTTCCCAAACTTTGAATGGCAGTGTATATGTATCAGCTTTAATGCACTTCTCAAAATAAAAAAAAACATTCAAAAGTTTTAATGACAAAAAGTAGTATTCAAAATGTGGTATTTAATTTACAATCTGCTACAGGGTAAGTGGTAGTAATATCTTCAGAATCATTCAAACATGTGAAAATCGAAAAATAGTTGTAACCTGGCTCAGAGGACGAGAGGAATCATGTTTTTGTGGCAGTTTTTCTGGTTATTAAGGGATAATACAAAACTTCTTCACCTTATAAATGGTTGTTGAAAGCAAAAATGCTACGAAATGCATCAGATTTTGTAGTTTTGTAGCGAAACAGCCACTATTTTTGAAATCAACAGCCCAAAATTAGTATGCAACAGTGTTGGATTTCATTCAGTGAATATGATGCAGGGCGGTGTTATACGAATATGACAGCCCACCCAGCCTGCAAAACTTGCACAAGCTTTAAAATAAACACACAAAAGGGACTATATGACACACTTCTGTCCTTCAAGACAACCGAACATTGCACTGGTGATGTCACAATGAGAGTGAAATGCAGCAGAGCACCGATTGGCCAGTCAACATTGTGGACCAATCACAGCAGGTTTTTGACCTTTCTCCTTCCTGTCTCACTCTGTCTCTGTAAGTTTTCTGTAACACTTTCTCCTCAAATCTCCCTCTTCTCTGCCCTTTTTTTTCTCTGGGTTTTGGTTTTCCTGTTGGCTCATCCCCATCTCTTCCTTGTGTCCCTACAGAGTGCCTTTGTTGATAGCTTGGAAGGAGACAGTCCATATGCCAAGAAACAGGTCTTTACCCCAAACCCCTTTTATGCATTCTCTTTGTTGTGGGCTGGCCTTGCACTCCTCCACTCTCTTTTCCTTCACAGCAATTTGTTTTTCCTTTGAAACTTGATTTGGGGAAGGGTTCTGAGAGATACAGCTGACCATGGACATTAGCAAGACTCTCTATCTCCTCCTATCTTTCCATTTGCACATCTTTCCACATATTCTCAGTCAATGAGACCCACATAGACACACTCTGGCTCCAACTAGCTAGCAGAATGGCTTCTTCTCATAGGCAACCAATCACAGCTGAATCACCTCTGCTCATGGCCTCAGTACTGTCCACAGACACACTCATACATTGACTGCACTGGAACAAACGATGACGCTCCACTAATGCACCTCATGCCTGATGCTTGCTCTGAATCTTGCCATTCATGTGTTTGCACAACACTAGGGATGTGAAGAACTTGTTTTTTTGTGCCTTTTGTTGAACTGAATCCGCATAGGAATGTTAAAAAAGGACCTGCGGTGTTGTATCTGGAATGTGTGAGTCCCCAAAATTGGATTGAAAGTTTTTGTGATGCTTATCATTTGCAGGTTTATAGAACGGTAAGTTTCAGCGATAAGCTCTTAAGCATTGGATGGGGAACATAATCTGAAGGCTGAAATACCAGAAGAATGTGCAGGAAAAAAAAAAAAAAAACCCCTGATATGAGTCTTGTTCATTCAAAAAAGTTTCAATTTGGTCAGTTCAGAAAAAAAGTGTAAAGAAAAAAATTAAAGAAGAAAACCAAATCTCATTCACACCATATAAATGATATTTTAAAATCTTAAAGGGATAGTCCACACAAAAATGAATCATCATTTACTCATCCTCAAGTTGTTCCAAACCTCCATGAATTTCTTTCTTATGTTGAACGCAAAAAGAAGATATTTTGAAGAATGTTGGTAACCAAACAGTTGGTAGCCATTGACTTCCATAATATTTGTTTTCCATACTATGTAAGTCAATGGCTACCAGCAGCTGTTTGGTTACCAACATATAGGTTTGGAACAGCATGAGGGTGAGTAAATGATGACAGAATGTTCATTTTTGGGTGAACTATCCCTTTAATTATGAATTTGGTCTTTCTTAATGAGACTCCGTATCAGGGTCCAGAGTAATATATACATTTGCAACTTGATCTTAATCTCTTTCTCCCTCTTTTGCAGCCCCTGGTCAAGCAGGACAGCCTAGACACTTACAACGAACGGGACCCTTTCAAAAACGATGATGCACGGGATGAGGAAGATGACCCAGAGGATGTGGACAGTGGCATCGAGGGAGAGGTCGACCCTCTCGACAGAGATGTTATTATCCAACCGCCACCACCACCACCACCACTGCGGCCACCAACGGAGAGAGTGTCCTTCCCCAAGGGACTGCCATGGGCTCCCAAAGTCAGGTAGCGTACAAGGTCTTCATCAAATGTGATGCCCATAAACTGTGCTATTTTGACTCTGACTTGTTTTCAGAGATCTGTCGTTTTGCAATAAGTACAAGCAATTTTTTGTAAATAAAGCTCAGGGAGGCAATAAAGTTTGGAGTCGGTAAGTCTCATATGCTCATCAAGGCTGCATTTATGTAATTAAAAATACAGTAAAAACAGGAATATTGTGATATATTATTCCAACTTCAAATAGCTGTTTTCGATTTTAATATATTTGAAAATGTAATTCATTTCTGTGATGCAAAGCTCCAGTCTTCAGTGTCACATGATCCTTCAGAAGTCATTCTAATATGCTGATTTGGTGGTACTAACAATGTTGCAAACAGTTGTTCTGATTAATATTTTTGTGAAAACCACGATTAATCTTTTTTCAGGATTCTTTGATAAATAGAAAGTTAAAAAAAAATTTTTTTGAAACATTCCGAATGTCTTTTATTGTCACTTTTGATCCACTTAATGCATCCTTGCTGAATATTAATTTCTTTAAAAAAAAATCATACTGACCCCAAACTTGTAGTGTATCTGTAGTGACCCGTCTAACTGCCTACAAAAATCTTCTACAGCTCCTGTGCTGGAAACAGGCTCATTTTAGGACTGTGGAACCTCCGACATAAATAATGCATATTTATGGGCATTGACAAATGAACAGGGAGAAACACAGAGGAAGTAAAAGAGATGAATTTGCAATAGCGAAAGCTGTGACAGTCACATTTGATCAAATCCTCTTGATAATTCAAAGAGCCACACAGTACAGTATTTACCTCTGCGGCTTCTTTACCTGTGAATTGTAACACTGTGCTGAGCTCCACTGCTGGTGTTGCAGCAGTTTAAAGAGGTTAGTCCAAAAACGATGAAGGGACACATTTATGCCGCTCTTTTTGATAAGTTTAAGCAGCTGTATGTTGGTAGCAGTCCTGTCCTAAACTGAGAAAAGGCTAAAATAAGTCTGTTTATGTCCGAGCCAACTCCTCATGTAGTCAAAAGTAATTCCCCTTTTCTTTCCACAGAGAGAAAGACATCGAGCACTTTCTGGAGACCAGCAGAAATAAATTTATCGGCTTTACCTTGGGAAAGTGAGTTTCCCGGGCTAAAGCTCAGCTACTGATGTTCTGAATCTATGATAAATGATAATACAGGTCACCTTCATTATCATTAAATCAATAAACGCACTGCTGTTTTTGGTTCACACTGAATATTCTTTCTTTCTAATGCTGCTTTACAGTGACACTGACACTTTGGTTGGGCTACCCAGGCCCATACATGAGAGTGTAAAGACTTTGAAATTGGTAAGCATGGAAACATTTTTGTTTTCTAATATTCTAGTTTTCTTCTAGACAGCTGGATGAGTAACAAAAATTATTCGAACATCATATGCATGAATACTAAACGCTAAAGCATTCTCTCATGCTTTAAATGTTTTGCCCTTTTATTGATACTCAATAAGTGGATTATACTGTATATGTCAGATTCACCAGCTGTTGAGCCACAGATATGCATTGACGTGAATCCTGTGGTCTAATGCATGCTCTATTGGGGCTCTTTCAGCCAATCACAGTTTAGATATCCGTCCTCATTCACCGGTCAGACTCTCTTTATTTGCCATTCCTCTCTCTGCTCGTGTCTCTGTGATGTCTTTGGCCGAACTGACCCTGCGCTCTGCTGATAGGCTCGCTGCCAAAGCACCATTCATCACAAGACAACGAAAGAGAGAGAGACAACAATGAGACAAGCACTTAAACTAAAAAAGGATACACTAAATGCATCAAAAAGAAAGACAAATCTGCCATATTTAAAAGTAAATCTGATCTTCTATTGCTGGACTCATGTACTGAGCCATCTCCACTTCAGTAGTACTTACATTCACCAAACTTTACCGTTTTATTTCTTATTTATATTCTGAAGATTTATGGGTCAACTTTTAAAGGGGTTCAAGCATCAAAATAATAGTTTAATACAGCTTACATTTTTTCCATGTGTTAGAATGTTTCCTGTTTAATGTTACTTTTTTCTGAGCAAAAAAATATAATGACTATCATACATTTTTACCATGATTTACAGACGACACCCAGTAAAATTTCATTAAGTCTCTCTGCTCGTGTCTCTGTGATGTCTTTGGCCGAACTGACCCTGCGCTCTGCTGATAGGCTCGCTGCCAAAGCACCATTCATCACAAGACAACGAAAGAGAGAGAGACAACAATGAGACAAGCACTTAAACTAAAAAAGGATACTCTAAATGCATCAAAAAGAAAGACAAATCTGCCATATTTAAAAGTAAATCTGATCTTCTACTGCTGGACTCATGTACTGAGCCATCTCCACTTCAGTAGTGCTTACATTCACCAAACTTTACCGTTTTATTTCTTATTTATATTCTGAAGATTTATGGGTCAACTTTTAAAGGGGTTCAAGCATCAAAATAATAGTCCAATTGCATCCCGCTCATCCTCAAATTCTTCAACCAGAACATTATGTCTTACATCAGTGCCAAAAACAGGTAGACATTTGGATATATGTTCACTCAAAACCAACTTCTGTGTCTGTCTGTCTTTTAAACATATTGTGTTTTCTGATGGCAGCATTTGTGCCCTGGATTTCCCTCATTGTGTGGTTCATGAAATGCCTGAACTCACAGCTGAAAGCCTGGTAATGATACAAAACACTTTTATTTATTTATTTATTTTTTTACTTAAACTTCAACCTTTTTTGTAGGTAAAGTAGGTGAGTAAAAAAGAAAGAAACTATTATTTTTGTTGTTTGTTAAGATGCTGAATGTGTGTCTGTGTGTGTAAACAGGAAGCTGGTGACAGTAATCAGTTTTGCTGGCGTAATCTCTTCTCCTGCATCAACTTACTGAGGATCCTAAACAAAATTACCAAGTGGAAGCACTCAAGAACTATGGTGAGAGAAAGAAAATGTTTATTTTAACGAATAAAAGCATTTAGCCATCTCATTTTCTAATACATAACTAGGCCTTATGCAATAAATAAAAATAATTTTCAGTGTAAATTGTTCATAAATCCTATTCATTACTATTAGTCTTATTTATTTATTTTCATGTATTTTTATTTATTTAATTTTTATTATGGCTGCTGTTTTTGTACTATTGTATAACCTTGCCCCACTTGTAAGTAATTTTATTCTGTTTCTCTTGCGGCATGGATTTTTTTTTCATTAAAAAGAGAGACCGAATACATATCAGTGATGATATATGTATAAATAGCTAATGATATCAGTCAGTGGCATTTCTAATTGTTTGATACAGTCTGTTCATGTGGAGAAAATCTATATAAAGGATTTTTTTAATGAATTAATGAGTTTTTACAAAACAGTTTTATGTGGTTTGTGCTGGGTCTCTTTCCTTTACAGATGCTTGTGGTGTTCAAGTCTGCTCCCATCCTGAAGAGGGCGCTCAAGGTCAAACAGGCCATGATGCAGCTCTACGTCCTCAAACTCCTCAAGATACAGACCAAGTATCTGGGCCGCCAGTGGAGAAAGAGTAACATGAAAACCATGTCTGCCATCTACCAGAAAGTCAGACATCGGCTCAATGACGACTGGGCGTATGGGAATGGTAAATATCAGGGGGGGGGGTTCACTCAGGGTTGGGGGCAGGGCCTATGAGAAAGACACACAACTGTAGACCCTGTAGAAGATCTACTGTAGGTTTGGCATCATTAAATTTTGAATTATTTCCTCTGTGAAACATGGGTCATATGCTGCAATTCAGAGGCTGCATCTTTTAAATGTGCTGTGTGAATGTTTTTTTTTTACTGTACTAAAGCATAAAAATACTGTAATATGCTTGCAGATATTTAGGAAACATGCTAATTTCACATACTTTTTCTCAGAAAAACAATGCTACAGCCAGTTATTCTACTTTGAAATGTGTATTCCGTGTCTGAATGTCTGTTTTTTTTTTTTTTGGTCCACGTGATTCCTCCCACCGCCAATTTACCTAATAGTGTTTCAACACACCGGGTTGCCAGTTGGCAGAAAACACAGCATATTGCAGCCATGGAATCCAGCAAACAAACTGGGTCAGAGATCACAGATTCTACCCAACCTAAAAAGCCTCTGCATCCATCTAAAAAATCTCTATGACCACATCAACTTATAGTGTAAGGCTTTGTTGCCTTCCATTGTCAATTGCACTTGTTCCTGTTGTGTGTCCTCAATCTGGCAAACCCTTATGAACGTGAAGTCTTAGTAGGAGGGGGTGGGAGAAATGACGCTCTCAAATATTTTGAATTTTGACTGCAGTACCCATTTCAATGGCAATATTACATACTAGGGGGGCGTGGCAGAGTCTTAACTTTGATAAAGAATATCTCTTTGGTTTTGAGACTTTAGTCTTTGCAACTTCAGGGATCTTATCTATGCACAATCAGCTTGTAACACTCCAAAGAGAAAGGAAAACTTGAAATCGCATCATATGACCCCTTTAAAGGCTGCATTCGAAGACTGAATGCATCACAGCAATGAGACAAAGGCTGTTTTGGAAGCTCCTTCAAATGCAGCCTCGAAATGCATCATTCGATTCCCGGGCCATTAAGGATATGACAAATGAATCCTTTGCGACCCAGACTAACCATTTAACAATGTTTGGTTCGACCTTCGAAGGATGCATCCCCTGAATTGGGACACAGCTATTGTAGTTGTTCTCATATGTAATACATGCTCCTATTTTTCATTCTCTTCTGCCAGATATCGATGCTCGGCCGTGGGATTTCCAGGCGGAGGAGTGCGCACTACGCGAGAGCATTGAGAAATTCAATATGCGTCGTTACGATAAGAATCAGAACAGTGAGTTTACACCTGTAGACAACTGCCTCCAAAGCGTTTTAGGCCAGCGCGTCGACTTGCCCGAAGACTTCCATTACAGCTATGAGATGTGGCTTGAAAGAGAGGTTTTCTCCCAACCTATTCAGTGGGAAGGTCTGCTACAAGCCCAGTGATCCTGTTGTGATTATTATGGGACTTTTGTTTCTTATTAAACCGACACAATTACTGTGGGATCACGCAAATACTCAAAGCACTGAGGGTCTGCCATTCCTGTACAGTCACAACAACAACACGTGCAGATCCTGCAGATGATTTAGTCTTAAAAGCTGCTAATGTCACATCTTTCAGCTCAACTGCAAACAAAACCGACACACAGTCTGATAAAACGAGTGTCACGCGACTCACCTGTAACGTAAGTAACTTTCCGCATAAAGTGAACTTGTGTTGTCTTACATGCACTATATAACAGTCGTTCTGTTTTGTATAAACCGTTGTTTCAGTTTCTTTATGTGTATGTAAGAGATATGCCATAGCAGGGCACCTTTGTCAGTTCATTTGGATTCATGTAATGATGGATTGTATGTGTTGTTGCATTTAAAATGTATACATGGACACTACAAAGCGAACATACTCGGAGTAAAAGCCTCAAAACCTGACTTTCGATGAGGTCTTTAACCTAAAATCATGTTGTTTAACATGTGTTTGTTATTGGACAGCTAGCTATGAATTTTTTTCAAGGTTTATCACAGACTCTCAGGCCTTTAGACTAACAAATAAATCGGTAGTTGTTGCTTTACCTTTTATAATCTTTTAATGAATGTTATATTATATACAATATTATAAAGTGGAATAATAATGAATCGTGCTGTTTGTCTCTTTTGAAATTGCAGTCTTACTGTCAGTATTATTCTAACTATCTCTGACCTGTTAACACTTAGATTGTGCTTTTGTTTTTCTGTATTATCAATCATTTTTGTGATTCTGGACAGTCTTGCTGCTTTACTAGTGTGGATAAATGAGCTTAATGCAGTTTATGTTGAAGCGTTTATATATTAAATATTTTTGAAACCCGATGTCTGCCTTGACTCTCCAGAATAAGTGATGTGTTGTTGGTTGTAAACTGGTCCGGCTGAAGCAGAGCTCTGGGACGTGTGGACAGACATTGACTGTAATGATGGACATCTGCTCAGGGACAGGTAATGTATCTCATGTGTGAATGTGTGTTCTAGTGCACTAAACATGTAGGGTACCATCATTTTCTTTTTGAAGGGCCTTCCTTTGAAAAGCAAATGATGGTAACCTAAGTAGATGGGGAAGGGACAGGGGATGAGAATTTTTATGCAACTTTCTTTATTTTTTCAGTCTGTGCAAAATTATAACCGCTGCGGGTCACAGTGCTGGAAGCTCCAGGGGGAGACCGTACTGATATCCCCCTTCTTCAGGCGCACCGTCACACACACTCCAGCATTCACTCGTATCGCAGAGACCTGGCTGGGATCAAACCAGCAACCTCTGAACCCGTGAGGCAGCGCTCTTACCTGTGAGCCACAGATCTCTTGCTGGAGCACATGAAGGAACTTATATCTGACTGTTTACCTGTGATTTCCCAATAAAGAAGTTGAAGGAAGCTCTGTGTGGGATTTAAACCCACGTCTCCATCACAGACTCATCCTCAGAGAACGTGTATTTAGCCACTGATCCATCATGAACTCTTCGTTGTGTTTTGGTGTTTGAGTGACTTTGTTGGATGAGATCGATTTAAAGTAAGCAATAGTGGGATTTGAACTCAGATCTCCCAGATTAGAACACAAAGCTTTATCTCCTGAGCCACTGAGCCTGTGGAGAAGATGAACATTTCGAACAGGCTTTTATTGAGAGATTTGTTCTAAATTATGAATAACAATAGCAGTTTGAACCAGGACTTTCATGTTTGAGATTAAAGCCTTCAACCACAGAAACTGTGACGTTACTCTGTTGTTGTCATTTAGATTTTAAGTTTATCTTAATAATGTAGGTTTACGCTGAGGAAAAAAGGCATTCAATTCATATGTGGGATTTGAACACGTCTCTGTTGCACTTTCATGAGTTAAAGTGTCAGGTTTAGCCACTGCACCACTGTGCTTCAGATAAAACAGATGGTTTACTATCGTTTATCTTGTTTGTAGTGTAAGTGTAGTGTAATCTCATTTTAAGTGAAGTTACTTTAAAACTTGCTAGATTTGACCCAGTACACCCAAAAGGTGAACAATAATCCACCGTACCACAGAGATTGTGTTGAATTCACTGTTGTTTTTGGTCTTTTACATTAGCATTTATTATGATAAGTTGCAGTAGTGTAATTCACTAAAATCAGCACGGCATGTCTTAAAGGGGTCATATGACTTTGCTAAAAAGAACATTATGTTGTGTATTTGGTGTAATGCAATGTGTTTATGCGGTTTAAGGTTAAAAAAACACATTATTTTCCACATAATGTACTCATTTGCTCGCGATGTTTCTACATTCCTGTTCTCATGTTTTGTTGATCAGGGATTGTTTTGGATGGGAAGATTGTTTTTTATTATTATTTGGCATTTCCATTGTTTTTTTTGTGGCCTGCAAGAAAGTAATTTAATTAATAGCATCATCAGAACTAAACCGAAACGAACAGTAGATTGAATGAATCTGATTGATACAGCATTACAGAAGTATAATAGAGTCTGCAGTGTTTTATAAATATGCAATGTTAATATATTTCTCTTATTACCTGTTTTTAGTCTTGATATGCAGTATGTCTGATAATGTCTGTATTTGTGTCTTGACTCTCCAGAATAAGTGATGTGTTGTTGGTTGTAAACTGGTCCGGCTGAAGCAGAGCTCTGGGACGTGTGGACAGACATTGACTGTAATGATGGACATCTGCTCAGGGACAGGTAATGTATCTCATGTGTGAATGTGTGTTCTAGTGCACTAAACATGTAGGGTACCATCATTTTCTTTTTGAAGGGCCTTCCTTTGAAAAGCAAATGATGGTAACCTAAGTAGATGGGGAAGGGACGGGGGATGAGAATTTTTATGCAGCTTTCTTCATTTTTTAAGTCTGTCCAAAAGTATAACCGCTGCGGGTCACGGTGCTGGAAGCTCCAAGGGGAGACCGTACTGATATCCCCCTTCTTCAGGCGCGCCTTCACACACACTCCAGCATTCACTCGTATCGCAGAGACCTGGCTGGGATCAAACCAGCAACCTCTGAACCCGTGAGGCAGCGCTCTTACCTGTGAGCCACAGATCTCTTGCTGGAGCACATGAAGGAACTTATATCTGACTGTTTACCTGTGATTTCCCAATAAAGAAGTTGAAGTAAGCTCTGTGTCAGATTTAAACCCACTTCTCCATCACAGACTCATTCTCAGAGAACATGTGTTTACCCACTGATCCATCATGGATTTCATGTTGTGGCGTTTGAGTGACTTCGTTTGATGAGATCAGTTTAAAGTAAGCACTACTGGGATTAGAACCAGGACTTTTATGTTTGAGAGTGAAGCCTTTAACCACTGAGCCACAGAGCTTGTTAGTTTGTACTTTTTTTATTTTTAGGGTCGTTTAGATTTTAAGTTTAGGCTGAGTAAAAGATTTTATTGCTTCTGTGGGATTTGAGCACGTCTTTGTTGTAGTTTCATGGTTCAAAGTCACATGTTTAGCCACAAGGCTTCAGCTAAAACAGGTGGTTTTCTACATTTTAATCTTGTTTGAACCTAATTTTATGTGACGCAAGTAAGTTTAAAACGTGCTAGATTTGATTCAGTACTTTCACACCCAAAGGTGAACAATCCTCTGTACTACAGAGATTGTGTTTAAGGCACTGTCGTTTTCTGGTCTTTTACATGAGCATTTACTACTATCAGTTTAATTATTTGTTATTTAAACTTCAAGACACTTTCAAATTTATGTGTTTACTTTACTCTTTATGAATTGCTTCTTTTTAGTTAAAATAACTTAATAAGCAAGTAGGTTATTGCACTCTTTTGTGGTGAATTTTGTGAGTTACATCAATCTAAATCAAGTCTAATATCTGGTATGCACTATTCTCCTCCAAGAGGGTAAGAGCAGAAAAACAAACCAATAATGCATTGCAATATCAACAGCCAATCAGAATCAGTTGCTCCAGTAACACACTTGCAAAAGAGAGAGAGAATAAAATAATTAAAAAGCCCTCCTGTGGCGTTTCTTCTGAATTACACCACTACAAATCGAGTCTAATAAATGCACTATACCTCAGCAAGAGGGTGAAAACACAACGCACTTCAGTATGAACAACAAAGCTATTTACACTATGTTCTGTCCCCCTTCTGTTAAAAATGATACATTTATTAACAAGAAAGTTAGAAGACCTAAAATGGTGATGTTTTTTAATTACACCACTGCAAATCGAGTCTAATGTCTTTAAACAGCCCTCGCGTGGTGATATTTGTGAATTAGCAAATCAATTTAAATATAAGTACTTTATTGTCATTACACACAAAACAAGTAATGCTATTATGTGTTAAGGATATAATAAATTCTAATGAACTAAAACAGGCTGCCCCCTCCTGTGGTGTTTTTTTGCGAATTACACCGCAGCAAATAGAAACTAATGAAATTAATCAGGTTTCAACCTCCTGTGGTGATTTTTGTGAATTACACCGCTGCAAAAAGTTTTTCATTTAAAGTGCTTTATTGACATGCATGTTTACATACAATATTGTCAAAACATTATAGGCAAAACAAGTAATGACAGGAAGATGGAATATACAATATAACAATAACAACAATTAAAAACTGTATCAAAAATAAGGTGCTAAGTAATGCATAAAAAATAAGATAAATTATACATAATTAATTCTAATGGACCTAAATGGGTTGCGCCCTCCTGTGGTGATTTTTGTGAATTACAGCGCTGCGAATTGAGACTAATGAACTGGGAGATTTGAGTGTCGTCCTCCTGTGGAGAATACAGGTTAAAATCTTATGGGCTTTAAAATAATTAAGACAAAATGGGGAAAAGGGCCCCGGTGGCTCAGCGGTCTGACTTCATGTGGAGGATCAAATGAATCAAATGCTTTAGTTTCACTGGTTTTGCCTGGGGGAAAAAAGCAGGAGACTGAGTGTGGTAGTGCCAAATCCCTATTAGGCTATTAAAAATATTACATCTGTAAACTGAGTAAATAAACACAAAGTTCTTATTATTTTTCATTACAAAACAACATATTTCGTGTTTATATAAACCGAATAATCCTCGTACATTGTTGTGTGCTCTTGATTCGGTGAAATAAATAATTGATTATATATTTTTGTTTCAAAATGGGATCTAACTGAGCGCCGTCCTGTGGCCGTCCTTATTTGTGTCCATTTGATTTGTACGGCTTCAACTCAAACCAGAAGAAATTTTGTATTATTTTGTATTAAAATATTGTATTATTTTTTCGTTGCGTTATTTCAAAATGAATACATTATTGATTATTCTGTGAATCAGTACAACCATATAGCATATTATATCTGCAAACTGAGCAAACAGAAAATGCGTCTCAGAGGAACGAATGTGGTGAATTGTGTTTCTTACGCTGCTTTTATACGGCTGTCCATACTGAACCATTCACGCCCTCCTGTGGTGAATTGTGTGTATTACATCGATTCAACTACGGTAAATGACGGCTAAAATTCGAGCAAAGGGAAATTAAATTGAGCATTGATTCAAAAGAAATAAATTACTGAATAAAATTAAGACAAATATTTTTTTTAATGACAAAAAATATTTACTCTTTGTATAATTCTCTTGTAAATTGTTGCGGTCTGTGTCATGATTTGTTAAAATAAACAATATTAAAAATATTGATTAAATAAACGCAAGATAGAGGAACACAACCTGGCGCCCTCCTGTGGTGGACTGTGTGTATTACACTGATGCAACTGCATTTATTACTATCAGTTCAATTTTTTTTGCAATTTAAACCTCAAGACTTTGCACTTTCCTTTTAAAAAATTTGAAATATAAAACTGTTATTATCTGGTTAAAAATATTTTGCATTGATTCATATTTAAAATATTGATTATTCTGTGCATCAAAAGATTTTTATTATTAAAAATATCCCTGCAAACTGGTTAAAATAATGACAAACGTGATTAATTATTTCTCCCGTGGTGAATTGTGTGTATTACACGTATGTGTCAATTAGACAGAGGAAACCCTTGTGTTAAATTATTTTGCACGGATTAAAAATTAAACTTGATTGAAAAATTATTACGTTTTTTTTAAATTTTTTAATGCATTGCATGGAGTCAGAGGAACGCAACACCCTCTTGTGGTGAATTGTGTGAATTACAACTTTTTCATTTTACAGGCTATGGAGCCTGAATCATTGTGCATCAATATTTGATTGGACTGCAAGAAAAAAAGAAGAAGATTTTAATCAGAATTTAATTATTTATATAACTGGATGCCACTGACTGAATTAGACATATGTTGCTGTCATGTCATGAGGTATTGACAACAATAATGCTGTTTAAAACAAACTGTATCCCATTGTTGTTGTTGTTGTATTAAACTACATTTTTAGTATTTTATTTTTTTCACAATGCAGCATGCAATATCCTAGCATTATACTGTTCATATCTTGTTCACCTTGTTTGTAGGAAAACAGTTGTTTCATTACTGAACTTTGACAGCCCTTGCTGACCACAGAATTCAGATGTGGGTTATTTCAACCTCATGTCTCCATCGGATGCTTGGAAGACGATGTAAAATGAAACAATGACAATGCTAGCATAGATGTAGCTCAGTTGTGCGATTATGAACTGCTTACCTTTGTCTTACCTCAACCTTCTCATGTAATGCAGGCACTTTCCTTCACTGATGTATTTCATTGGTTTAAACCTGAATGTTTATGATAAACAATGCACATCTTCCTGGAAGCCTCCATGTTTGTGTGATGTCATAGAAAATTCATGTTAGGAAATTTAGGAAGTTTCCAAGTTAAAAATCCAACATCAAGTGAAATTAAAGTGGCACCACTTTCTTAGTAGGAAATTCAACATTCTGAGTTAAATGGAACACTATTCTGGAATATTATTTGCTAACCTTTTCAAAGAGATGAAAAATCAAGCTATTGCATTTTTCATAATCTGACCCTTTTAAATGCACGATCATGCAGATGTTACTTGAACATTCATATGGCACCATATGCAAACCTTTGTGAGCTGAATTTGAATGTTTATGAGTTCAGTTGTTACAAGCGGTCTCAGTCTTCTCCCATTTGCCATTCGTTCAGTGCTTTATATACACTGTAAGAAAAGCAAGACCAAGACAAATGTATGTGTCAAGCAGCGATTTGCATTGATTAGCCTTAAAACCTATAGTAGCCTACTGCGGAAAAATAGATGTCGATTAAAATGGCATTAAAGTAAGTTACTGAAAGGCCATTTGAAGCGCAGCACAATTTGTGGTAAAGAAACATTACATAAATATATTTGAATCTTAAATTAGATATGAAAATTTACTTTGTTGGTAGTTGGTACTGTATTTATGTAGTATAGAGTTGTAAATTACAGATTAGCAGACACAGTACTACAAAATAAAGACATGTTTTAAAACATTGGCTAACATCTGTACATTCACATGTGTTTCCATCATCCAAACGTTTCTGAAGATGCTCCTTTGCATATTCTTTAAACACAAGGAGCAAGCCATTCATTGTTCTTCTTAGCCTATTTGAATAGTAAAATCAAGATTTGATTGCCAAATGTGTCTGACTTGCTCTTAAGTCTTGTGGAAAAAACAACAACTTCAGAAGCAGTGATATAAAACAATGCATTTAGCATTTAAAAAAATCCCCTTTGTTTACTCATTTATATCAAACATTGCTTCAATTTGTTCATGCTCATTGGTTCCAGCTTTTGCACTCACAAAAAACCTTGACATTAGTTAACTTAAATTAACATGCTTCCCTCAGAGCGGTCCACTGGGTTATTTTGAGCATATTTCTTTCTTATAATGTGTGTGAATAACAGCTGGGGTCAGTCAGAGGAGGAGGGAGGGGGTTAATACTGCTTCTTTTAACAAAGGTCTCTTACACCTCTTTGAACAGACGTTCACTCATTCTTGAAGACTGCACGACGAAGAGCCAGACGAGTCACAGCCAAAGGTTTTAACACCTTATTGCTTTTTTTTTCTGTCTGTCTTGATTTTTTTGTCAGGTAATGACTGATCATGGATTTATTATGTTCGGTTTTGTTGTACTTTTAGCATGTTGAATGGTGTCACCATGACACACAATTTAAAAATAATCATGACTTTGAGTCTCTTTTTAAGATGTTATGCAAGTTATG